GGGTTTTTGTGTAGGGTTTAGGGTTTAGGGTTGGGGGGTTCATAACATTGGGACTACAAGGCAACATGATTGGTAGCTAGTCCGACCCCTATGGCGCCGTTTGGGTGAGGGATCTGAATGTTTGAGGTCTACATTCTCTGGACTCTTGTGGGAAGGATCTTGCTCCTGGAGGTCTTGATGGGGGTCACATCGACTGGGAATCTTTCTGCTTGAGCCTCGGGGTCTCTAGGGTAGTCTTCGGCTTTCGGATCTCGTTCTCGACTTGAGGCGTAGATTAGAGGCACCCTTTACGCTCAGAACGGCCGAGCCTGCTTGCTTTGGGTGTTTCCTTCTTTTCGGGGTGGGCCGGAACGTAGCTCTGCACTGAAACTTCGTCCAAACGCCCAAACCCTGAAATTCACAGAATCCCTGAAGGAAACCATCAAAACTCAGAAGTTGGGTTTTCGAAGTGAAGATGCCATGAAAGCGTAGGGATTTGTGGTTTGGGGACTTTGTGCGGATATTTAGGGTTTCGGGTTTAGGGTATGTTAAGCCTAACGCCAAAGACAGACAGACAGACAGGCAGACAGGCAGATAGACAGATAGACAGATAGACAGATAGATAGATAGGACAGATGGAAAGATGGACAGATTAGACAGATGGACAGAGAGAGAGAGAGAGAGAGATATATATATATAGATAGATAGATAGATAGATAGATAGATAGATAGATATAGATACATGGAGAGATAGAGAACATGCGCATCCGTCAATAGATAGTTACACATCTACGCATCCGTACATGCCTAAATGCATGCATGCATCAAGGGCTCCCCAAATGGCTTGGGCCCATGAGTCTCAGCCGCTGTCGTCCGTGCTCCGACAGGGGAAATTTAATGCAAACGTCAGAGCTCAGTATCGATTGCAGGGGTACCGTTTATGTATGCCTAAAGCGAGAAAGAAAGAACCAGCCTGAAACCCGCCACTTCGGGGCAATTTGTGAGGTGAAGCTCTTTGATTTCCAGCCGGCCGGTGCAACACAAAGCTGCTGCAAACAGGTTTCTGAAGTTCGTTTTGGGGTTTAGGTTTATTTGTGCGGTTATTTTACAATAGCAATTATAATATTAATGTCGTTTCTTCAAAAAACGTCTTTAGGATTATTGTTTTTTTGCCTTGAGGCTTTTCTTGGGTCGTCACGTTTCGGGGCTTGGGTTTAAGAGATACGGGTAAGCCGTAAATTCGTAAATCCGCACTGGTTCGATGCTCGCCCCGTAAACCCGGCAGCTTTGCTGCCTATCTTCAGCTAGGCCGGCCCCGATTATGAAGCCTTCAATCATTAGGGTTTAGGGGTCAGGGGTTTCCATGTCTGACCATGGACATTCGTGATCGCCTGCAACTTAACCACCAGCTTTCCCCGTAGCCGACTTCATTTTCCGACATGTTTGCCAGGTACCCTAAAAACCCTGACTCAACCCCCAAACCCCTAACCCCCCTAAACCCGAAACCCCTAAACCCCAAACCCTAGACACCTAAAATTGAACTTTAAACCCTCGACCCGAATCCCTAAACCCGGACCGCTGAACCATGCGGAAGCTTCCGAAACGAGGCCTCTTCAGGCAGTTCAGATCAGGGGGTGGCCGAGGGTACTAGGGTTCCTGGGTTATGGCGATTATTTTAATTTTATTGCTTTAGCTAGTGTTACTAGTGGTATTATTTTTTAATTTTTTCGTACTATCATATATTCGTCTTTATTGTTTTTTCTTGTGATTATCATTGTTCTTATTGTTTACTTCTCGGGTTTAGGGTGGGTGTGCGATCCGACCTCGGGCTTCCGGCCAGGCTTGTGCTGGTTGCGCCTACTTCTCTGGAAATGCCTGCCAGCGTTGTGCCGGTGGCTTCATCCTGCGTGAAGGCCAATGCACAGCCTGCACCAGTTCCGGTGGCTGGCTCCTTGGAGACTGTTGTGGGTATTTTGTGTGTGTGTGTGTTTGTGGTTGGGGCCCAACTATCCACATGGAGGTAAGCTCATTGAAAGCCACCCCTCTGAAACGGATGTTGACTTCAGTTTGCAGAAAGGTTCTTGCTGGGCGCTCTTGTGAGTACGCTTGAACCCTAGTCTTTTTTGCCATTTCGGCTTCGATGTTGAGGTCGTAGAGTTGCATGTAAGGTTGCGTTGCAAATAATTTGCAGGGTTTCGGGTTTTAGGGTTTAGAGCTTGGGGTTTAGGGTTTAGGAGCAATGACCCAGGCTCAGCGTGGACGGGAAATCGTGCATGCAGCTGGCGGCGAGCGATTGCAGCGATGAAAAAGTAAGGGGCCAATCGAGCAACGAGGCTTGCTGCCAGTGCGGTGGTGGGGTGGTTACGCACCTTGGTTGCGTGTACCACCGGGTGCGAGATTTTGGGTGTTTTTTGGGTTTCGACATCCTCGGAATTGGTGTGCTTGAGTGCTCTCAGTTGTTTGTTTCTTTCTGTAGGATTCGCTCAAATAGTCTTTGCATTGGTCATTCCGGTGCCCTTATTCTTGCTATAGGGAAACCTAAAGCCTAAACCCTAAACCGTTGTAGACCAAATGGGGATTGTATTGCTAATTCTTCAGACCCCTTATTGTCATCCTTAGTGCCCTCTTCAGGGGCCAGAGAAGGACAGAAGAACAGGCTCTCAAAATCTCCACACCGCTTCTACATAATATCACCATAACCTGTAACCCTAAACCCTAAACCCTAAACCCTCCATGTTTAGATGCAGTTTGAGCTCCTAACCCCCAAACCCCCGAACACTCTGTATCCCAGGCCGACGCCCTTCTCATATCCCAACAGCCGTTGGTCCCTGGACTCCAACATCGCGGCTGGCCACGAATTTCCGAGCATTTTCGGGACGATTCTGCATCGCTGTGCTAGTAGTATTCATGCCGCTTTTTTGGGGCATAGCCAGAAAGCCTACCCGTGTCGCGGTTGCTCCTATTCTTGTTGCGATGTCGCTTTACTTTCGTTGCGGGAAATGGGGGGAAGTTCAAAGGTTCTGAAGCCCGAGCCCCGCACGGCCCTGCGCTACACCGTGGACTCGAAGTGTGAGCTTGCGGCACATAACCTGACCATGGACAGCTCCTCAGGAGGGTTTGGGGTGCCTCCTTGGTGTCTGGTAGGGGTGGTTTTTGTGGGGTTTCGGGGGCTGGGACTTGTAGATTGTCGGGCTTTGGGCTTGGGGGTTGAGATGTAGGCTTGAAAGCTAACCGCTGAATGACTTCTGCTTGAAGGCTTGGGGTTAATGTAGGGGCCTTAATAATTAGAATAGGGTTTTGGGGGTTCCTTATTACAATTATAGTATAATATACCCCAAACCCTATTCTAATTATTAAGGCCCCTATATTAGGTGTAGGGCTTAGGATTTTAGGGTTTAGGGGTGAAGGCTTGCCCTGCCCTGAACCAGCATTATTGAAGCGACAACGGCCCCTTTCATGTTGTGAACAGTTTCCGAGACATGGGGTCCCAGTAGGCTCCGTGTTCTGACGGAGCGCAAGACAAGGACCATGAGAAAGCCCATGAAACCGCGAGCAATTGCCACCCATCTTTCAGCTGGCCCATAAAGATAAGCAACTTGTGTATCCAAACCCTGTAAAACCCGTCTCGAACCCCGAACCCTCAGCCCTCAACCCCCCAAAGCCCAGAACCTTCAAATCCACTACCGACAAGATCCAAGCATGCAGTACAATAATCCCTGAACCCTGAACCCAAACCCTAGTAGCACGGCGAAAGCAAAATCAACAGCAACGGAGCGAAACTGACTGGAACGCAACTGAGAAGCAAGCTCAGGCCCTTGAGCCCTAAGCCCTAAACCGCCTAAACCCGAAACCATAAATCGATAGAGTTTGGAGGATGCTCATGCAGACACCAGAAAGGAGCACAACAAAAAAAGCCCTAAGCAAGCAAAGGCACTGAAAAACAAGAAGCACCGCACAGATCTCTTATATGGACCCTTAAAGCCTTAGGGTAGAGTTAAGGAAGTTAAGGGCTTCAGAGCAGGAGAGATCAGCTACATGGCTGGGCGGGCCAAGCCTCTAGAGGTCCTCCCGTGAGTTGATATGGGGGTTTCCGAAAATAGGGGGACCCTAATATAGTACCCTAAATAGTAGGATCCTCATTATAAGGACCCCAGAATAAGGTACCCCCAAATTCCGGAAACTCCCATGTAGAAGCCCAAGCAATTGCCAACATTATGGCTTCGGGTGCCTTATTCTGTTTGTACTAGAATGAAGCCCAACGCTTCTATTCTCCTTGCTTTGGTTCTTTCTTGGACGTCCTGGGGTGTTGGGTTGCTATGTATCGATTTGGGACAATTGTTGAGTATAGAGCCCTAATTCTAGAGATTTTTTGGGAACTGTTAAAATCGACACCTAGGTTGAGAATTTGGGGTTTCGTTTGCCTCTTTTTTTTTTTTACGAGTGGGAGGTCCGGTCTGGGGCTGTGGGTTTCTCTGGGGTACTTAGAAATACTTGCCACCTTTTTGGTTGCCAAAATCCCGTAAGAAGCCTAAACCCTAAACCCTAACAAACAGCTAATATGGGATTTTTTTTGCTAGGGGTCGAAGTTCCGCGTAGGTTTGGGTTTATGCGCTAAGGGCTTGGGCCTCAAATTACACGGGGTGCATGCGCAGGCTTCGAGCAGCAGGGCCAGAGATGTTGTAGAGTTCTGGGTTTGGAGTTTGGAGTTTACCTGTAACCAAAAAGACCTACCTTTTTAAGGAACTTTATATGGAAACCACAATAAGGAACCCTAAAAAGGTTGGTTCGGTTTCAGGTAGGGTATGGGGTTTACGATCCTTCGCGGACTCAGACTCAACACCAGAATACGAAACCCCTAAACCCTCAAACCCCTAAAGCCCTAAAGCCGTAAACCCTAAACCCTAAACCCTAAAACCCTGAACTGGCAGCACAGGATCTGCATGGGTTTCCTAAACCCTCAGCCCTAAACCCTAAACCTTTTTTTTTGGGGGGGCTTGTGACGGTCTTGGGACTCAGCTCTGCAGGACTTTGCATGACCACTTGGAGGTTCAGGGGTAGTTATAAGTGGGGTTATAAGTCACTAATGTGTGTTATAAGTATAGTTACCCTATAAGTGGGGTTATAAGTCACTGATATGGGTTATAAGTTTAGTTGCCCTACTTATAGCCCCTTTTATAACTACCCATGAACCCCCAAGCAGGGTTGCGGGCTTCAGGGGGCACTTCGGGGTTTCGGGGCGGAGGCATGCGAGATTTAGGTCTCGGGTTTTTAGGGTTAAGGGTTTAGGGTCTGGGGTTTTGGGTCTAGGGTTTAGGGTCTAGGGTTTGGGGTTTCTGATTCTGTGGCTTTGTCGGGTTGTGTCTCTTCGTCGTTCTGAGGGTTCATGCAGGAAGTTACTTGGTCGAGGTTTAGGGTTTAGGGTACTTTCTAGGACATTTTCAGGTGGGTAGTTAGCGTTATAGGAGCTTTATGGAAGGTCTATATACCTTATAGAAGCCTTATAGAAGCCCTACATACCCTAAAACTCCCCACCTGTAGTTTCCCTCAATACTTCATCGGATGCAGCGGCCCACAGGCAGACCTGGTGCAAAGAGCTGAAAGGAATCCATTCATGCCTGCACCACACCTTCATCCCAGAGCCCTAATTCCTACAACGCCAATCTCTGAAACCAGAAACCTAAGCCCTAAGCCCTAGCTTGACCCGGATTTTGGTGCTACGACCTCAGGCGCCTTACGCTAGAAGGCATCGTTCGAATCCTTAAACCCTAAACCTTAAACCCTAAACCCTAAACCTTAAACCCCAAGCTCCCGAAGCCTCGAGGCCTTCTCCTTCGAGTGTGAGGTCACCGCCCACCAGGCCCGGGGTGTCCGTCAAAGACAGATCGACCCAGGTTGGGTTTGGGTTTAGGGTTTTGGGGTTTAGGGTTTAGGGTTTAGGGTTTGGGGTTTGGGGTTCGGGGTTTGGGGTTCGGGGTTTGGGGTTTAGGGTTTAGGGTTTGGGGTTTCGGGTTTGGGTCGGAGAGGCAAGGGCAGGCCCACAGAAGCTTCTGTGGCGACAAAACGAGAGGGCCGAGATCCTCGGCATGTACCCGGAGATTCCATTATCCCTAAGTTAAGGAATATACCTTAATTCTTATTAGGGTTCACTTTAAGGTATATTCCTTAATTAA